GTTTACCACTTACCATTGATTCTATCTATGGCTTTGGGAAATTTCTTACCTGCTTTGTAGCTCACTTTTCTCTTTTATAAAATGAATGAATGAGCAGTATCCACCTGGTGGAATGTAAATGCTTGGAACATAAATGACTTAGCATATGTAAAGTGGTTAAGATAATCCTGATAGACATAAAATACACAATGTGTGGTGGATATCTGTTACTATTTCCCCAAGTAAAACATTTGTTTAAATACAGTACTGGGAAACAACAGTGTCCGTCTGCCTTTTGACACTTTAGCATGTCCCTGTCATGCTAAGATGGTACCAGATTGACACTTGGTAGGTAAATAAGCCTCTTGAAATCCCTCCCTCATCCTGAAGGTCAGTCTGACTTTTCCAAGTCAGTTAGATGGAGAAAGTTGACAGGACAAGCTGGAGGGGTGGGATAAAGGGTATGATATTCTTTGGTTTAAAAAAAATGTAGCGCAAAAAAAAAAAAAAAAGCCGGAAGTGGCGCTGTGGCTCAAGTGGTAGAGTGCTAGCCTTGAGCTGAAGAGCTGAGGGACAGTGCCCAAGCCCCACGACCAGACCCAAAAAAAAAAAAAAATGTAGCGCATATCATTCCTTCTTGATCTAACAGCTGGCAGGAAGGGAAGACAGGATCCTTTAAGCCAAAGAAACAGCCTGAGCCAATATAGGAAATAATGAGAAGAACAATTTCAAAGACTTCAAGTAGTATATGAAATAAATGGAATGGGGAGAAAAACCATCCATGAACAAGAACAAATACTGGGAATACATTTAGAAAACTTTAGGAGATGTAGGAGATGAAAACATGAAAAATTATCTTGATGAAAAAATGCACTGGAAAGTGGGCAAAAGTTTATGGTACTCCAAGTTAAAAATAGCCAGGCACCAGTGGTTCATGCCTGTGATCCTAGCTACTCAAGAGGGTAAGCTCTGAGGATCACAGTTCAAAGTCAGCTCAAGCAGGAAAGTCCTTGAGGTTCTTCTATCTCCAGTAACTACCAAAAAAGCCAGAAGTAGAGCTGATGGAAAATGACCTTTCCCCCTGACAGCCATATCTTAGAGCTGTCCTTGCTGCCTACCCCCCCCCCCCCCCCCGCATCAGCTCCCCTCCCTTTACCCCTAAACAAAACTTGTGGTCTTGGAAGGGATCACTTACCTACCCTACCTCTGTCTCACCCTGCTTCCCTCTGCCCCACCTGACTTCACTCTTTCTGCCTAATAGTTAAAGAGACCCTAGTTTGCAAATGGGGTATGTGTGCCATTTTCCCTTCGGCCATGCTGAAGGAGACTTGGTTGTCCTTCCCAGGCTTTCTTCCCAAAGAAAGCCTGTTGGGTCTGTTGAGTTTCTCTTTCTTTCTTTCTTTCTTTTCTTTCTCTCGCTCTCTCTTTCTTTCTTTCTTTCTTTTTTGGTTGTGGGACCTGAACTCTGGGCCTGGGCACTGTCCCTTAGCTCTTCAGCTCAAGGCTAGCACGCTACCACTTGAGCCACAGTGCCACTTCCAGCTTTTTCTGTTTATGTGGTGCTGAGGAATTGAACCCAGGGCCTCATGCATGCAAGGCAAGCACTCTACTACTGAGCCACCTTCCCAGCCCTCACTCTTTCTTCTCTTTTACTTTTCTTTCTTTCTATCCTTCCTTCCTTCTTTCTTTCTTTTTTCTTTCTTTTTCCAGTCTTGGGACTTGAACTTAGGGCCTGGTCACTGTCCCTGAGCTTCTTTTGCTCAAGGCTAGCACTCTACCACTGGAGCCACAGAGCCACTTCTGGCTTTTTCTGTTTAAGTTTTACTGGGGACTTGAACCTGGGACTTCATGCATGCTAGGCAAGCACTCTACCACCAAGCCACATTCCCGGCCCTCTTTTCTTTTTCTTTTTTTTTTTTTTTAAATAAGTTTTTTTATTGTGAAAATACTGTACAGAGGGAATATAATCACATGAGCAAGGTAATGAGTACATTTCTTATCAAGCATTGTTGCCTCCTCCTTTGTTTTTCCCTTACCATCCCTTTCCTCCCAACTCCACAACTACACTCCCCCCTCCTCTCTTTTACTTTTCTTACAGAGCTATGGCTCCAGTGATAGAGCACTAGCCTTGAGCAAAAGAAGCTCAGGGACAGCACCTCAACCAGTCTTGTATTCAAACCCTAGGACTGACAAAAACACTACATTTTCTTTTTCTAAATATAACTGGATAACATTAATTTAAAAAATTAACTAAGACATTTAGAATTTTTTTCTTTTGGCTCAGATAAAGTGGTATTAAGTGTAAAGTCCTAGCTTCCTATTATCAGATCCAACACTGCTGTGGTTTGAATTATGTAATGCTCTCCACCTCCAATTACTTGAAAATCCTACCCCACAACAAGATGGTATCCTAAGCTTGGCCTTTGGGAAGTGATTAGGTCATAAGGTGTTTATAAAAGGAATGGAATAAAAAAGAATTCCAGAGGTATCCTTGCCTTTCCAACATGTAAGGATACAATGAGAAAGTGCTCTTCTTAAACCTGAGAGCAGATTCATCCTGATCACACACTGCATCTGCTCGCAGCCCCTTGAGGTTGAACTTTCCAGTATCTACCTCTGTGAGAAATAAGTCTCTGTTATTTACATGAAACATACTCTGTGGCATTTTGTTACAGCACCCCCCCCCCAAGAGACTGAGACAAACATGTACAAGTATTAAATATTTACTTTTCTGTTTTCATCAAAGTAATCCAAGACAAACAAATTGACTTTGAAATACAAATTTTAAATTGGCATGATCTCCTCATGGTTTTAAAAGAAGAAGGAAAAAGACAGAGGGAGAGAGGGGAGGGAGGAAGAGAGAAAGAGAAAGAGAGAGAGAGAGATCAGTAGAAGTGAAATTATTGTTTGAATGTCAGGCCAAGGTGCTAGTGTTTGAGCATGTTGGGTTATGGGAAGTCATCTTTATGTTTATGAAGAAAGAGTTATTTTGTGGCACAGTTTGTCAGGTAGGCTAGGGAGGAGGTAAGTGGGAGGAGAATAAGGTTAGGAGTTGACTGGGGACCCAGAATCCCTGATGGCTCTCTTCTATTGTCTAACCGACCTTGCCCTGGTTAGATTCCCCACCCCTATACTCATTCTCTAGCACCACCATTAGAATAGTGGATTATCAGAGTATTATCCAATGGAAAAATAATAAATTTGTCATCTAAATTGGATGTCAATGAACTTTTTCTGGTCAATATTTTAGGTGTGGAAGACCATGTGGTCTCTGTTACAATTATGCAACTCTACCATTATAAGAAGAAATCAGCTGTCAACAAGGTATAAAAGATTGTGTGTGGTTGTGTTCTTATAAAACTTTATTTCAAAACAAAAACAAAAAACAAAAAAAGGAGGGGGTCAAATTTGACTCACAGGCCATACAAGAACATTAAATGTTATTTTGCTTTAAAAATAATTCTGTGATTCTTCTGTGCCTCCAAAGTCTCCCTAATCCTCCCTCCCGGCCAGTGTCATGCACACCCCATGCAGTGATACCTGCCATGATATTATAGGGTATGTAATTATTTCTGCAGCAATAACGAGCAAAGCACAATGTTATCGTGAAGTGGATTTGGAGTTAGAATAACTTTAAATTCTTATTCTGTCAATCTTTATTTTGTGTGATCTTACCTATAACATACAACCTCTCTGAGTCTCTTTCCTCATGGGCAAAATAGAACTATTAGGCACAAACTTACAGGCTGTTGTGAGGATTAAATGCACATAGAGAGGCAATCCTAATGCTTGGCATGGAACAGGCCCTCAATAAATAGTAGTTATTAACCCACATCAGCTCTATAAATAGCAGAGTCAGAGAGGACAAGCCCAAGCTGAAGGAAGAGAATTCCCTTGCCAAGGCCAGTTCTAGAATTAGATAGGAAGGGAGGGGTAGTTCTGAAACATACACAAAAGAGAAGAGAAGGGCAGAGAAAGAAGAGAAAGCAGCAGGAAGTTTGAAGACATTGCTTCAAAGCAGATTATTATCAAATGCTTCGGATGGATTAATCATTTATTAGACAGTCCCAAGGAAAATCCCCTTGGCTGTTGGTAGCTGGGAAACCTTGGCGCATGCTTCCATTGTAGAAATAAGACCGGTGGGGGCTTCCTCAAAAGTTCAACAGCTGGTGAATGGGAGCCTCTTGCATGAACAGCCTCCTCTCAGTCCACTCTTCTGGGCTCAGGGGAGGACCAGTCATCTTTTCTTCAGCTGAAAAAATACACACAAGAGAATGAATGCTGCTCTCCTAATAGAGAAAACACAATGAGGAGCAATCAGTAGCCAGTAATGATGTTGGATTGCAAGGACACACACAAACACACACACACGAAGAACAGCAAATAAAAAAAAATCTGAAAGCTGCGCACTGGTGGCTCATGTCTGTAATCCTAGTTACTCGGGAGGCTGAAATGGGAGAACTGTTGTTGGAAGCCAGCTTGGGCAGGAAAATCCAGGAAACTCAACTCAAGTTAAGAACCAAAACTCCCTAAGTAGACATGAGGCTCATGTAGTAGAGGGCTAGCCTTAAAAGGAAAAAGCTAAAAGACTGTTTCTAGGTCTTGAGTTCAAGCTCCACTTTTGGCAGGGATATCTGAGTGAGCCTAGGTTCAAATCTTGATTTTACCACTTATAACTATGTGTTCTTTTATTCAATTCTTTTTAAAATACTTTTTTTATTGTAAAAATACTGTACAGAGGGGTTACAGTTACATGAGCAAGGTCATGAGTACATTTCCTATCAAGCATTGTTGCCTCCTCCTTTGTTTTTCCCCTACCATCCCTTCCCTCCCACCTCTACAACTTCACTCCCTCCTCCCCATCTCCCCGCCTCAATTGTAAAGTTCATTTTTCAACATAGTGTCTTGCACATCTCATTGTTACAATGGGTCAACCTGCATCCCTATTTAAGCATTTTGTTTTTTCCCCTTCCCCTCCCCAAGTTAGAGAAGTGTATGTACAAGATGCAGGGCACCAACATCAAAATATGGAACGTTTCACAAATTTGCATGTCATCCTTGTACAGGGACCGGGCTAATCTCTGTATCGTTCCAATTTTATGTATGTGCTGCCCAACCAAGCACTAACTATGTGTTCTTGGGCAAGGTATTTAACTTCTGTGCCTTTTTCCAAGCACAAGACAAAAACTGTCATGTGCATTCCTTTAAGATTGTATAAAATGCATTAATAAATAAAATTTAGAATGGTATCAGTAATAAATGATAGATTTCCATTTGCCATTTTTAGTATCAATATTATTTTATGACAAGCAGGTTTTTAGAGTAACTGGAATGAATCAAACTACCTTAATGAATGAGCTTCTAAGCTAATTAAGCAATCTGATTCTCAAAAGTACTGAAGGTGAGATATAAATGAACTTAAGAGTTTTCATTCTTATAATTCTATTTATTAGCTAAACAGGTCAGACCAGGATAATAGATATTCTACAGTGACTGAGTAAAATACTAAAGATATTAATATTGTCATTCAAAGGAAGTCTTTATCCTTAGGAATACACTTTGAAGTATTTAGGACCAAAGTATTATGATGTATGCATTATTCTCAAATTGTTAGAAATGGTAGATGTACCTATGTGTGTAGATCATATACAGAAATAATACAGATATGATAAATGTCTCACAGCAGGATAAAAAAATGTAACACGTGTTCAACAATTTTTTTAAAAAACCAATTATCTAGTTAAGAGTAAGAGAGAAGCATAGACCTAGTTTGACCTTCCAGCACATCTAAGGCCACTGTAGAATAAGCAGAGGTGACAAGATATTCAATCTGACCCTAAAATGCCAGGAGAACTTGGACTTGGCACAAGGGGACAGGAAGTAATTCTACAACTCAATTATTTGATAGTATCAGGCAGGGATGTCTTCTGAGCACACCTGTCTCCACATTAGTCTCCACTTAAAACAGGTCCTTAAAATAGGTTGCATATGGCACCAAAACCAACCAAACAAAACAACCACAAGACCAAAACCAAAACCAAAAACAATATTGCTTGAAATTCTTACTAGAACTTTCAGGCTAGAGTTTTAGTCTTGAGATTTTACTTGCATGTTCCAATGATTACCTCTTCTCTGGCCCTCCTGTCCCCCCTGACTTCCTCTTAACTTCAATCCATTTGGCAAGCTGCAGAGAGAATAAATCTAAGCTGCTACTTGCACACTATTGGTTCCTCATTAAGAAATTACAAAGCCTTCCTGTTTTCCACAGCATCTTATCTAAACTTCCATGTTTTATGAGTTTTACATATTTCAACTCACAGTTCCAATCTCATTATTTTTTCCCCTACCACTGAAAATAACAGACCTATAATTAGCCCGACATCTGATTCTGGCTGATGCTGCTTATGCTCATGTGGCAAGGACATCAGGCTCATGCTGAAGTTGTGATTCCTCTGAGACTGAGGTAAAAGTGCTTCACTTGTAATTTAAGCAGTGCATTTTCATGATAGAATAGTTTTAGACCTATAGAAAAATTGCAAAGCTAATATGAAGAATCCCCATCTGCTCCACTCCTACTTTTCCCTGTTATTAGCATTTTTACATCACTACTGTCCATTTGTCACAGCCAACGAACAAACATTGGCAGACAGCTATTAACTAAACTCCATTTATTCAGATCTATTAATTTTTCCCTAAGGGCCTTTTCTGTCTCAGGATTGTTTGCCATTACAAATAAATCCTTCCATGAGCATTCTGGAGCATGTCTTTTGGTGAACATGTGTGTGCATTTATATTGGGAACATGCTCAGGAGGGGACATATTCTTATTTCTATTCTGAACATATATTTATCTTCACCTTTAATCAATAAGTCCACATAGATTCCCAGTGTGCTTATATGGGGTTGCTCTACCACCTAGCTAGCTAACACTTTTAATTTTAGCCATTCTGGTGAATGGGTAGTGGTATTTGATTATGGTTTTAATTTGTATGCCTCTGATGACTGACTATATAGAGCATTAATGTATATGCTAGTTTGTGAATAGCATTTTGTGAATAGTTGGACATCTTTTTATTATTAATTTTCATAAATATTTTTTGGTGAGGTGTCTTTTATCAAATATATATTTTGCAAGTATCTTTTTTCCAGACTGTGTCTTAGCTTTTCTGTTTTTTAATGGTGTCTTCCAATAAACAGAGCTTAATTTTTTATAATCAAATGGAAGTCTTGGTCTGAAACAACTTTAAGAGGAAGCTTCCATTTAGAAGTTTAAGCTGCTTTCCTGACCTTACTTTAATATCCTATAATAGAACTTGTGCTGAGCAGAAAGTTGTCTTTGTTCTGGGGTTGAAGGTTAGGCCTCCTGTGTCAGCTGTCATCTAGATTGGACATTACTAGACATAAACTATACCATGCTATTCTAAGACCTCTGTTTCCAGTAAACAGGAAGAGAGAGATCAACCTCAGATGCTATGGCAGGCCATATTGCAGCAAAGCTTTGTTCTCTAAAGACAGAAGGATAATTTCCAGGTTATGCAATCATTGTTTTGATATCCTTCTTTTACAACGTGCTTGTTAATAATTTAGTGTCATTTGGGATATGCTTAATACAATATTGTACATGTATTCCTTCAACTAAACAGAAGGACAAAACATTATATTATACTCAAATAATAAAGTTTTAGATTTTTGGCATCAAGATTGTACTACGTAGTAAATACATGCTTCAAAGCAAAAAATAAAAAAAAATTAGTTTTATTACCTTTAACCAGGAATGGCTTGGAGAAATAGTTGGCTTACTAGCTAATTATTGACAAAACGACAACTGTAAATCAACCGGTCAGATACTAGAACTACCATTTCATTATTTATTCAACGTCTAAAAACCCAGTAATTTTGTATAGTTAACCAATTGTCTTTTATAACTTTGGTGCAAAGAGTTTACACTGGATGTATATATGCGTGAGGATAGATATCTTCAAATACAAGCTATATTATTAGACAAACAAAGAATGAGGGTTCTACAAATACTTCTCAGGTAGATTTAAGTGGGTAGAAATGAGTGTATGAAGCTACACCTGGTGTAAAAGCTATTAGGTTTTTCAATTCTTTTAGTCAAGCTATATGGACTACAATTTGGGCTTTATTTGTCCACTTGTTCCTTTGGAGGTAATCAGTGTTCTATTTTCTGTTAAAATACATACCTTTCCTATGATCCTCACATTTCAGAGGAGGATGAGGATTTCCTAAATGCCAGCTGACAGGGAAAAAGAATAGCCAGCACACAACTATACTCAGGGTACTTGTGAGAGAACAAAATGTCCTTGTGCTACCAAGGCACAACAAAAATGCAGTGAAGACAGACAAAGCAATGCAATAGAATTGTGAATCTAGAAATAAATCCATTCATCTATGGTCCATTGATTTTTGACCTTGATAAGAGTGGCAAAACCATTTAATGGGAGAAAGAATAGTCCTCTAGCTGACAGGAGTGGATCATATTTGCAATCCTAGCTACTTTGGAGACAGAGATTGTGGAATAATAGCTTGATGCCAGCCAGAGCATGAAAGTTCATGAGATTCCATCTCATGAACTCAAGCAATGGCCAGGTACAAGTGAATGCACCTGTCATCCTCTGTGACATGGGAAGGCACAAGTTGGCAAATCACAGCCCATGGCCTGGGCATAAAGCAAGACCCTACCTTGAAGATAACCAATGGAAAAATGGGCTGGTAGTATGGTTCAAGTGGTAGAGTCTGTCTATTAGCGCAGAACCTTGAGCTCAATCTCCAGTACCACAAAAGGATGATACAGCAAGTGGATATTTACATATACCCTATACACAAAATTAACTCATCTAGAGCAAAAGTTAAATGCATGGGTTAAACCAATAAACTCTCCAAAGAAAGTTTAGGTCCAAACCTTCACAGCCTTGGATTGGATTGGAGATTTCCTGGGTAAGACAATGAAAGTATGAGTAAAACATGATAGAGTGATCAAGTCCCTTCATCAAAAATATAAATGCTTATGATTCAAAGAACACTATAAAGACCAAAATGATAACCTAAAGAATGAGAGAAAATGTATGTGAATTATGTATTTGATAAGGGTCAGAGTAGCTAATGAAGACTTACAGCCAATGGGAAAAGTTTTTGAATAGACATTTTTCCAAAGAACTATACTAACATTCAGTAAACATATGACCAGGTACAGATACCATTAGTTATTAGGAAAATACAAAAAAAAAAGCCACAATGAAATACTACTTTAGAATAATAAGGTTTCTGGAGTAGAAATGATGGACAGGGAGAAATTAGAATCCTAATGCACTGCTGGTGGGAATGTAAAATAGTGTAGCTACTGTATAAAATTTGGCAGTTTTTCACAAAGTTAAAACATAGAATTACTATATGGCTTAGTAATTCTACTTCTAGATATATATATATATATATATATATATGTATGTATATATATATATACACAAGAGAACAGAATGAATGTGTCCTCACAAAAGCCTGCATGTGAATGTTCACAGCAGTATCATTCATAACAGTGAAAAGGTATAAGCCACCTAAATCCCCATCAACTAATGAAAGGATAAATAAAGCGTGGTACATCATATAATAGAATATTATTAAACCATAAAAAGGAATGAAAACACTGGTACATGCCATTTTATTAGTCTGTTTGTCTCGGCAATAAATAGATTGTGCTCACTTTAATAAGGGGTTTCTTTGTGGTCTTGGAGGCCCATGGTTGAAGGATCACATCCAGTGGTGACTTCCTGTCAAGAGTCAGGAGAGAGACAGAGTGTGCGTATACATTGTGTCTCCTTTGATGCCTCTCTCTCTTCTTGTGAGATGGCTGATATTCAATCATGGATATTGCATGCTGACAAATTTATTTAACTCTAATCACATCTCAAAGGCTTTAACCTAAACGTCTTAGTCAGACTTTCCATCTCCTTAATTCCCTCACTGTGAGGATTAAGTTTCAATACATGAATTCTTGGTGGGGACCAGCTCAAATCACACTCAAACCATGACAGCCACACCAGGGTTGAAGCTTGAAAATGTGCTAAATAGAAGTAAGACAAACATATTGTCATAATATATAATTCTATT